TTGAGTTTTGATTGCTTATTTCATTACATATATAGAGATTTTTTGGGCAATAATTGATCTATTATTTTCATGTATCAAAGATACGTCTAAAGTAATACTTCTTCAAACTAAATTGGGACATTTTAAAGTTTACTAAAGTATACTTAACAATAAAGTAAACAATAGTATAGCGAAGTACACTTGACTATACTATTGTTTACTTTATTGTTTACTCAAATTTAGGGTAAATGCATTGAATTGAAGACATTTTTACTTATTTCTAGATTGTTTTTTCCATTGTACTAATGTAATTTAAAATGCTCAATTATAAAATGCTACTCAAATAAGATCTCTAATTCTATTATTTAAATGTTGAATATGAAATGCTTTTTTTTTTTATCTCTCTTAGTTGCTCTCCTGGTCCTCCATATATCGGGCCTCTCAGTTCATGGCTCCTAAATTGAGGAACATCTGAACAACCAAAATTCCCTCTGCTGCCTCAGTTGATTTATTTAAAAAATCAATTTAGAATGGCTGTTCTTTCAGGCTTCTATGTGACAATTTTATTATATTTCTTTTGTCTCACCAAAATTATGTATTTTAAGGAAATTTTGATAACAATATAATTATATAAATCTAAATTAATTTGAAATTTTTCTTTAACTGCCTGGAAAACAACTTTTTTCCTTCTGTAGGTAGAATCCCAGCTCTGAAGGTGTCCTCTTCAGAGTATTTCTCTCTAGTTTTAAGGCTTTCCTCCAGTGATAATCCTCTCTTTGGCTGCTCTGCATGTTTGGCCGTCAGTCAGAGGCTAAATGGAAGCAGTTGGCCGAAGTGGCCACTTCAAAGGGCCATTTTAGCCTGGCTCAGGAGTGTCTGCCCCAAGATGTGGATTATGGTGGATTACTGCTGCTGGCGACCGCCTCAGGAAGCCCTGAGATGGTGGGGAACCTGAATGAGGGGGCGGAGAAGGAAGGGAAAACCTCACCTACTTCATGATAGGAAGGCAGGAGTTTATTCTGGAGCATCAAAGGAACAGTTTGACTTGGTTTTTGCTTTATTTAATTGTTTTTCTTGGTCTTTTCATATTTTTCAGGACTGATAAATTGTTTGGAGCTGCTTATTAAAACTGTTGCTCTGCTGGCAAGAACATACATGCCCAGCCAGATTTCAGGTGTTAAATATGTCGTCTGTGGAAGCTAATGTGTCCGAATTTCTACTTGAAAGTGTTTGGTACAGCAGCAGCCATTCAAAATGGCTCAATCCCCTCCAACTTCCAGCCAATGGAGTGACCCTCTCTTGCATATTTTTTTACTCTACCTCCACCCTTTCACTGAATTACAGTGTCTGACCAGGAGATGGCGCAAAAAGAAAAAGGAAAAAAGAAAAGTTTTTTTTTTATTATTTAAAAAAAATACCATATAAGATAAAAAAGAAATATACCAAGCTGCATCTTTTTTCTTCTCCGAGATTGATTAATTTAAAAATCAATTAAATGATAAACAAAAACATTTTTTCATAAAAGTTTTTAAAAGATGGCCCAGGTGAAAGTGACCAAAATTCATTTAGAAATGTCAAATATGGTGTTTGGTCTATATATATATATATATATATATATATATATATATATATATATATATATATATATATATATATATATATATATATATATNGGTTTCTTCCTGTTAAAAAGGATTTTTTCATCTCCACTGTTGCTACAAGCACGCTCAGTGTGAGGGATTGTCTATTAGTCAATGAGTCCACTCAGCTGGTTTTTCTTAGATAGAAAACTTAATCAATATGACTGAATGATCTGGTGAACAAGTGCCTTGAGATGACGTGTTGTGACATGGTGCTATATAAATAACCTGAAGATATATATATATATATATATATATATATATATATATATATATATATATATATATATATATATATATATATATAGACCAAAGATAGATAGATACATAGATAGATATCATAAAATATTATTTACCAGGGATACAGAGTTGTTTTTCTCACAGAAATCCAAATGAATTCTAAGAAACAAATTAATAAACATTTATTGAAAATAAACTCATGGTTTAAATGCAGCAAACTCCAAATATCAATAACTATGACTTAGAAGCTAAAGTCCTCAGATTATGCAAGCAATGGGGTTTAAACCTTAGTACTGCTGAAAGTCTGTTTTAGATTTATTTTCTCGTTTAGTTTTAAGAACAGACCCCAACAATTTACAGCATGAAAGGGTTCATTTGGGTCACACCTCCCTTGACACTACCGCCATCTAGTGTCGATAAATGGGTATTTCAGGATGTTTGCTGGAAGCAAACAGACTTTATGATCCATATGTCAAAAAGATTATGTTACGACATTTTAGTTATTAGTTTTATTGCTTGTTTCTTTGAAAGGGATCCATAAGTAGTTGAACATCTTAACCAAAATATTTACCGTATTTTCTGGTCTACAAGGCGCACCTGAATATTAGACACTCATATATAAGCTGCACCTGACTAAAAGCCGCAGGTGTTTTAATGTTTAATTACCATATATAGGAGGATATGCACAAAGATGATTGTCAGAGTTGTTTGGGAACACATCCCCGCAGTTTGAAAAACAAGCTGCTGCTACATATTTACATAACTTTTTATGTATATGTACAACTGCCTAATACATGAAAAAATACGGTAATTACAAGTACAAAACATGTACTGTGCTGTGCTAAGGTGCAGATAAGGCTTTAACGAAAAAGTCTGGTCAGTAAAAACTATTTTAGTCGGGATCACTGAGTCTGGGAGCGGCCATTTTTACCCAAATATAGTAACACCTCACTCCTGACATCTTCCAGTGAGGCATTAATGGAATGGAACCACTTTAACTGTTTAATTTTACCACTAGACCCTCCATAGATTTACACAATAAGTTAATGTGAGCTTATTAATGAGAACTACTGTTCAAAAGTAAGGAACATTATTCAGAGTATTGAAAGGGATGAAACATTTGAAAATAATAATAAATGTGAACATGTTCAATTTAAAATGAGAAATTTTTCCATTAAAAAATACAGAGAAAAATAAAGGATTATGAAAGTAACCTACTAAGGTATACGGAAGAGGATTAGAGCCAGTGGGGAAAAAAAAAAGTTAACTGATTTTTTTTATTTTATTTCAGTTTAGTATGGGAAAAAAAGTCAGAATTCTGAGAAAAAAGTCAGAATTCTGAGAAAAACAGTCAGAATTCTGAGAAAAACAATCAGAATTCTGAGAAAAACAGTCAGAA